AATGTGACTGGGCTCGTAACTCCATTTCCAAATCCAGTACTAGTACCTTCAGTTGTAGTTCCATTCGTCATTTGAGCTAGCTTGACTTTTGATGCTTCCTTTCAATTCACCTTTAACATATAGTGAATCTGAGCACCTGATAGTTGCTGCTATGAACTTAGAATCCAGATCGATAGCTCTGATACCATGAAAACTCCATGAATGGAGGTTGATTCTTAGATCAATTTACAGAGAGAATAGAAGAGAAAGAGAAATTGTATTGAATATTATGTACTCTGTTACATTGAATCTGTACCACTATGCCTTTTATACTTGTACACTAGATTACAAATACAGAAATATCTAAAACTGTTTTGTAACTAACTATTGCCAGCTCAGCATTCTGTTTAGCTGACTGCACTTATGGTTTAGCTAACTCAACCATTCAGCTTGTTAACTCTATGCACTAGTTAACAATATTATTCTAGAGTTCGAGTTTTTTATTTTACTTAAATTTCAGTACATTATGTTGAAATTTCAAGAAAAAGTACTGAACTTTTCAAATAAAAATAGCCCCAAAATTCTGATTTCAGCTTGAGATATTTTACTTCAAACAACGCATATAAATGTAAAAAGAATGCAGAGCATGAGAATTGAAACTTGGATGCCGGAGGTACATTTTAAATGTCATGGATAATTGAGTATGTGTGACCATCTCATCTAAAAATTTAAGTTGTTAGAGAGTACAGACCTTTATTATTTAATTACATTCTCAACATAATAGCTATCTTTTAATTAATTAGAAAATCATGACTTATTTAAATTAGTAAATTGTGAATTTGCCTAATCGCGCATCTCTAACTACACATGCAACATAAAAGTTGAAAATGCTCTTCATGCAGAATAATTACTAGCCTTACTACGTGAATTGAAACTAGCTCAATTCAGAAAAAAAAACAAACTGAATTTAATGATAAAGCATTACTAAACTCCTTACACAACAATTCTATGATATACTCACACATTTATGCTAATTGTAGGTCTATACTTATAGAGTTGGACAATCTGACGCTACAACACATTTCGAGGGAGACTAATTTGGTAGTGAATATATTGAAAGAATACAGAAGAAAATCTACAATATCGGATATGAAAAGAAACTATTTTTATGTTTTCGATCCATCTCCAATTTTTTTGTGACTTATGCTCTCGATATATATGATTATAAAATTGTTTCATAGAGATGAGTTTCTTTCTGTACGTCTATGGACAAACCTTATAAATACTATGGAAAGTACAATTCAATATAGGAAGCTACTTGCAAGCAAGCTTCATGGATGCTTAAAAGATATTCAAAGCCAAAAAGTATATATCTAGAAGTAATTGTCATAAGAGAGGAGCAATCGTATATTTCAATTAGTTGAAGTAATTGCGAAGATGATAAAAGTTTATTTTCGAGGGAATTTGAAATCCAATTAACTAGCTGGAAAATTGCAAACTTTGGAACTTTTATCCTAATTGACAAATAGGTTAAATATCTAGAAGATCTTGGTTGTAACCTTAATCACTGCGTCTCTATATATAGTGATCACAAAGGTTATTTTCCTACATTATCCTTCTCACTTTAGTAAACTTATACTATTTAATTACTCGTCATAGTTATAATTTGCTATAATTATTACTCTAAATAAATTCTTAATTTCCCCAAATAACCCTAAAATAAATTCATATCTTACACCCGAACAGATCGACCCACCCACCCACAAATAAAAAATGGGTCTTCTCCAATTATTTTTGACAAGTGTAGTATTTGAAATGATTGTCTTAATATGTAATGCTTGTGTTTATGTGTTGATAATAATGAAACAGTCAGCATTAGTCACAAGATAATGGTCCTACCTGTAAAAAACAAAATATATAAACAAGTATAGGGAGATTTAATTTAGGAAGGCATAAAATTAGCTTATAAAATTATGATCTGTCTAATTTGATCAGATTTTAACAAATTAATGATCCGTTTATTTTATTTAATTATATTTATTTTAGTATGTTTAATTTGACTTATTTCAAAGTTGAATATTATGCCATCTAAATTGGTCCATGAGAAACCTTGTCTAATTTTTTATTTGTTGTTGATATTGATATATTATAAATGATTCGGTTTGGATCGGTTATTGGTTAAAATTAAATCCAAACCACAATTAATCGGTTTTTAAATTTCTAAAATCAAACTAAACCAAATCAAAAAAATAACCGTCGGTTTGGTTCAATTTTTTTGGTTATTTCGGTTTGAAAGTATATAGTTTTTTAAGGGCATATGCATCTCGATAGACACTAATTCATAGTACATAAACAATCAGAAAAGCTATTGTAAAATTTATTAAGCAATACTAGTCATAGAACAATTGAAACAGGACTAAAAAAACTCATTATCCTGTTAGAAGACTTATATCTAAAAAGAGAAAGCAATGTATATATGTAGTGGAAAATCAATATTAGCAGAGTTGTCTTGGATAAATATATAACATATTGAATCTTGCATGTTGTGACAACTGAGAATTTTTTCTAATAAACCAAAAATAAAATAAAATCAGTGCTCCAAATGTAAAAATCACTTAAATAATAATTTTTTGGTTGAGTTAGAATTAGGATTTTAATTACTTGGGCTGAAATTTAAGTGTTGGGCTTAAGAAAATAATAAAGTTAAAGACTTAAGTTAATTAAAATTTAATAAAATATTTATATTTTATTTATGAATAATATATAAATAATTATAAAATTTATATATATAATTTAACCGTTCGGTTTGGTTATTTTTGTGGATATTCTTTTGTAAAATCAAAATCAAATCAAATAGTATCAGTTTTCAAAATTCAAAATCCAAATCTAACCAAATATCAATTTTTTTAATCGGTTTGATTCGGATTGTGATTCGATTTGGTTGTTTAACCATAACCATGAACAACCCTAGTCTTAATATGTAATGCTCGTGTTTATGTGTTGATAATAGTGAAACAGTCAACATTAGTCACAAGATAATGGTCTTACTAGTAAAAAACAAAATATATAAATTTATGATCTGTCTAATTTGATCACATTTTAACAAATTAATGATCCGTTTATTTTATTTAATTAAATTTATTTTAATATGTTTAATTTGATTTATTTTAAAGTTGAATATTATGCCGTCTAAATTTGTCCATGAAAAACCTTGTCTAATTTTTTATTTGTTGTTGTTGATATTGATATATTATAAATGATTATAGCATAAGAATTTTTTTTATTAGATACTCAAATAAAAAATTTAAAACTTAGTAAGAAGTTGGTGGATTTCGCTATGACACGGATTTTAGTCCATTTCAATTCAAGTATCTTGGCTCGTCTATTTATTAACTATTGAAAAGAGACGAAACAATTTGGAAAAGATTTTCTGCCTTGTGTATCTTTTGCTCTTGTTGTACATCGTTTCAATATATAGAGAATAAAATCTAACTACCTGGACAGATGTCCACTAACTATTGATTATTCCCTAACAAACTAATTTGCTGTACAAAATAATATTTCCTATATATACTGCTTAAGATAAAAAGAAAGTAAAAAATACAATCTAGAAGCTTCTTGAGAATGTGCTAGGTGTATGGCAATGAGGAGGACACTTGTATGCTCGAGATTATGCTGGAACAATTCTTCTTTGATTTTGAAATGTCCGCCTTATCATTCTGTTGTTCAATACCCCCCTTCAAGGTGGAGGGTGCGGATAGCAAACCCAGCTTGCCCAAAATATTCCGGTGAGCAGGACCAGAGAGGGGTTTCGTGAAAAGGTCGGCAAGTTGAGAAGCCGAGGGGACAAAAGAAAGGGAAATCAGCCCGGCTAAGAATTGTTGCCGAACAAAATGGCAATCGATGTCGACATGTTTGGTGCGTTCGTGAAAGACAGGATTCTTGGCAATATGGATAGCAGCTTGGCTGTCTGAATGAATAGAAACAGGTAATGAAGGATGAACAGAGAGATCTTCTAGTAAACGAACAAGCCAAGTGATTTCAGCAACAACTCGACGCATAGAGCGATATTCGGCCTCAACCGATGAAAGTGAGATGGAGGGTTGTTTCTTTGATTTCCAAGATATCGGATTCCCTCCAAGAGTAATAAAAAAACCACTGATGGAACGATGACTTTCAGGGCAGGTGGCCCAATCAGCATCGCAAAAAGAGAGTAATTTGAATGAAGGGGAAGACGATAGGAATAAACCAAGCCCTGGATCCAGAAGAACATAGCGAAGCACATGGATTGCAGCATCAAGATGTGGTTGGCGTGGTTGCTGCATCTACTGACTTAAATGTTGCACAGAGAAGGATAAATCAGGACGCGTATGTGTCAAAAAATTGAGCTTTCCAATCAACCTTCGATATAAAGTAGGATCAGCTAATAGGACACCCTCTGCAGCTTTTAATAGATGAGACGGATCCAAATGAGAAGAAACAGGTCGAAGATGAAGGCAATCAAACTCTGTTAATAATTCAATTGCAAATTTGCGCTGAGTTAGAATAATCCCATGAGGCTCACGGAGTACTTCAATCCCCAAAAAATAATGTAAATCCCCCAAGTCTTTAATTTTGAATTCAGCATCCAAAAAAGCCTTAATAGCATGTATTTCGTCAACATCATTTCCTGTTAATACAATGTCATCAACATATACTGCCAACAAAGTGATAGCAGTCCCATTTCGTTTAGAAAACAGAGAATAATCATTATAAGAGTGTTTATAACCCTTGAAACTGAGATCAGAGGTCAATTTAGAATACCATTGGCGTGAAGCCTGCCGAAGTCCATATAATGATTGCAAACAACATTAGGACGAGGAATTTCAAAACCAGGTGGAAACTTCATAAATATCTCTTCATCCAAATCTCCATGTAGGAAAGCATTGTTCACATCTAATTGGAATATCCCCCACCCTTTCTTGACTGCTACGGATAATAAGCATCGAATAGTTGTCATCTTCACAACAGGGCTAAACGTTTCAGTAAAATCTATTCCCTCCCATCTGTATGTCCCCCCTTATAACCAACCTTGCTTTTAGTCTCTCAAGTGTCCCATTTGACTTCAACTTCACTTTATACACCCATTTGCAAGGAAGAGCTTTCTTTTCATGGGGTAAGTCAACCACATCCCAAGTATCATTGACAACCAGGGCATCAATTTCCTTTGCCATGGCTTCTTTCCACCCAGGGTGTAGAAGAGCCTGGGAATAACTAGTTGGTTCATGAATGTGGGAAATGGAGTTGAGTAAGTGTTGGTTTGAAGATGAGAGACCAGAAAAAGAAACAGAAAGGGGAGACACAGGTGACAAGAAACAGTGTGAGGACACATTTGCTGAGAAAATTGAGTTGCAAACATAATCTTCTAAATAAGTTGGGGTTTTAACCGCTCGAGTGGATTTGCGCAGAACAATAGGATCAATAGAAGGAACCTCAGTAAGAGGAGGAATATGAACTGGAATATGAGGAGGTGAACCAGGAAACTCAGTATCAGAACGAGGGAAAGAACAAGGAGGAAAATGAGAGTCCATGATAGGAGGTGATGAGAAAGGCATATCAGCTGTGTCATCAATGGAATCAGTAACAAACCTTACTGGAAATAAAGGAGAATTTGTGGTTATGCTAGAAAAAGGGAAAATGTTTTCATGAAAGACCACATTTCTGGACACAAAAATTTTCTGAGAAGTAAGACTAAGTAATTTATATCCCTTCTTCCCAAAAGGATATCCCAAAAACAAACAGGCTTCCGCCCTAGGGTCCAGCTTAAACCTTCCTACTGATAGAGTAGAGGCAAATCCTAGACAGCCAAAACATTTGAGGATAGAATAATCAGGTGTAGTCCCAAAAAGCTTTTCAAAAGGAGTTTTGAAATGTAGAATTCTGGTAGGACACCTATTTATAAAAAAAGTGGATGTCATGAGACAATCCCCCCAGAACTTGTGTGGAAGATTAGATTGAAGTAACAAGGCTCTTGACACCTCCAACAAATGTCTATGTTTGCGTTCTACTATGCCATTTTGTTGTGGTGTTTCTACACAGGATGTTTGATGTAGAATGCCTTGAGAACTTAAGAAAGAAGAAGACTCAGAACTACTACCTAGTTCCCAAGCATTATCAGACCTGATGATTTTAACCTTTTTATTGAATTGTCTTTCAATCATGATGAGGAAAGATTTCAAAATTGGAAAAACATTGCTTTTGGTGGCCAACAAATAAGTCCATGTTCCCCTACTATAGTCATCAACTATAGTAAGGAAATACTTGAAACCATCATAGGTCGGAACTTTATATGGTCCCCAGGTGTCAATGTGGATTAAATCAAAAGGTTCTTTAGAGGAAATAGTACTGTTAGGAAAGGGTAGTCTAGCTTGCTTAGCTAGAGGACAAATATCACAAGGAACGCTGAATTTAGAACAAACTGAATTAGAAATTTCATTGATGTTTTTCATGTTGGATAAAGGCATGTGACCTAACCTAATGTGCCACAACCTACTGTTTACATCAGAAAAAGAAATAGAAGACAAACTACATGATAAATATGCCTTTTGATTGAGAAACAGAACTATCATAAGCAGTACAAGGCTTGAAAGTATTAGAGACTACTGGAGAACTAGGCTGCAACACATAGAGACCATTTCGAGAATCACCAAGGACCTTGGGGCTCTTCATTGAAGGGCCTTGCATTAGACAATGAGAGGAATTAAACGTAAGATGATAACCAGACTGAAGACATAGTTTGTGAACAGACAGTAGATTGTAATGAAAATTAGGAACAAACAATACATCATGAAGTATCATTTGTGTAAAAAGCTTGACGGAACCTCCATGAGTGACCTTAACATTTTGAGAATTTGGTAGTTGTACAAAGATTGCTTTAGGCAAAGGTGATAGAGAAAGAAATAAATCTTTATTGAAACTCATGTGCTCAGTTGCACCCGAGTCTATTATCCAAGATTTCCTACTGATTGCAGTCCTCAAATGATTAGAACTAAAGGAAAAAGGAATGGGAATTGTACCAGCACAGTTGTTACTAGCAGAAGCAAGGGAATTAGTGCCCTGATCATCAGGTTTTATTTGGTGAAGTAGCAATATCACTTGTTCCAACTGTTCCTTAGTAAGAGACTTGTTTTTCTCACTCGTATCCCCATTATACATGAACTAACCACCATGTCCTGCATTGCTAAGCATTGTATTTCCCTGGACAGAATTCTGAAAAAAAATTTGTTTAGTGAACTTAAAATTGGATGGAAAACCATGTATCTTATAGCACTTATTAATGGTGTGTCCAGGCTTTTTGCAATATCTGCAAGTCATTCCATATTTCTTGTTTTCAGTGGAAAACCTCTGCCCTTTTGGATCTGAAGAATGTAACCTCTGATTTCCACTATTCTGTCCTGCAGCTATAGAAGAGGAAGACTCCCCTGGGTACTTAGAAGCTATGAAAGAAGAAGACTCCCTTGGGTACTTAGCAGCTATGAAAGAAGAAGACTCCCCTGGGTATTTAGGAGTGTTGTGCATTTCTCTTTGTTTTTCCTCTTACATCAAAAGAGCATATGCATTAGCAATGGTAGGAAGAGGTGAGATCATAAGAATGTTACCTCTTGCACTACAATAACTGTCATTAAGTCCCATCAAGAACTGTACCAACCTCCCATCTTGCTTCCCTTTAATATTTTTACCTCTTGCTTCACAGGTACAAAGAATTGAAGCATCTAAGCTGTCAAGTTCATCCCAGAGCCTTTTCATCTTGGTATAGTAGGTAGCAATGTCAGTCGCACCTTGAACTAAATCACTCAGCTCTTTTTGTAGTTGAAATAGTTTAGCCTCGCTGCTTTGCCCAAATCTAGCCTCAAGGTCACTCCAAAGTTCTTTAGCAGTAGAGAAATATATAACACTCTCAGAAATTTCACGAGAAAGAGAATTCAAGAGCCAAGATATTACTATATTGTTGGCCCTAAGCCAAGCCTTATGCAGCTCTGAATCAGTTGTTGGTTCAGGAGAGGAACCATCAATGAACCCTGCTTTGTTCTTAGCAGTCAAAGCAATCAAAAATCCACGTTTCCAACCTGCAAAACTCTTCCCATCAAAAGGGGTATTAACAAGAAGCATCCCTGGTGAATCAGAGTGTGAGATGAAGTAAGGATGAGAAGAATTGATAGGATCTACTGTCGTATGAACAACAGTCTCAGAAGAAGCAGCAGAGTTTGTAGTGGTAATATCAACCATCTCAAAAGATCTTCAAACAAAAAATTGATATAGATCCAAGAGGAAGCAAAATTATATGCAGAAAGCTTTGAATAGGGTTCTTCACAGAACCTGCTCTGATACCATATTGAAAAGAGACGAAACAATTTGGAAAAGATTTTCTGCCTTGTGTATCTTTTGCTCTTGTTGTACATCGTTTCAATATATAGAGAATAAAATCTAACTACCTGGACAGATGTCCACTAACTATTGATTATTCCCTAACAAACTAATTTGTTGTACAAAATAATATTTCCTATATATACTGCTTAAGATAAAAAGAAAGTAAAAAAATAATCTAGAAGCTTCTTGAGAATGTGCTAGGTGTATGGCAATGAGGAGGACACTTGTATGCTCGAGATTATGCTGGAACAATTCTTCTTTGATTTTGAAATGTCCGCCTTATCATTCTGTTGTTCAATATTAACTCAATTCAATTTAATATTCCCAAATTCAATTTAATCCATCTATTTTATTAGAGCTGTTCAAAATCGAATCGAAATTGATAATTAGAATAAAAAAAAGTTATTAGGTGATCGATAATGGGTTATTGGTTTAGTAGTTTCGATAAAGGTTTTGATTTTTTTATCATTGGGTTTTGCTTCTTATAACGGATTGAGTTTTTTCTTAACGGATAATTGATAACCCCATAGTAAATTAAATAATTATATTTATACCATTTCGCATATCATTAAAGTCGTTGACTTATAGTTTAGTCTCATACTTTTATTTTTGATTGTTTCAAACTCTCCGTTATTCTAAAATGTGAGTGTCTTTGCTTTTGAGCAAGATGCAATCTGTCAACTCATGTGCATGATTCATTTGATTTGTCACCTTGTTTATAAGTGATTTCCATGATTTTTTTGTGTCAAATCTTAACGGTTAAACCGATAAGGCAATAACCGATAGGTCAATATCTTAATGGTTCTACAATGATTTAGCATGTCTACAAAAACAACAATAAGTCAAAATGATAAATTTCAAAGCTAAACCAAACCAATCAATACACCACCCTACATTTGATACTCCTAATTGTCATAATTAACGAAAATAGTAATACACAATTTTAATTACCAATAAATGATAAAAAAAATGTCGATTATACCATTTATTAATGAATTATAAAAAATTTTGCTAGCTACAAACTAATGGAGGATTAGCAAAGAATTAATATCCTAACTAATTCCTTTTTTTCTCCTAATAAACGAAAAGTCATGATTAGTATTTAGAGGCATTTTAACATCCTGGCCAGAAGATGAAATAAAATGACGATCTTTTTCTTTTATATGGAACGGATATGACATGATAAAAACTTTTATTCACGAAAAATCACTTGCTTAATTATTAATTCTAGTGTGGTTAACTTGAATAAATGAGTAAAAAGATGCATAAAATCTCATTATTAAAATTTATTAATGAAATTTCATTAATATTAATAAATGAGTAAAAAGATGTATATAGTCGGAGCCAACTATTAATGAAATTTCATTAACATTAATAATCACGTGAATAAATTATTATTAAAATCTGATTAACACTAGTCATGTAATATCTTATATTATAAGACTACAACTCAGACACACCTAATTCATATAACTTAAGAATTAAGACTTGCATTTAAAAAAAAAAAATCTTAGTTAATTATATATACAATCATTTTAATTATTATTATTTTAATTGAATAAAAAACTTAGGTTGTTTGTATAGATAGGAATAATAACTTGATTAAGTTTGTAATTTTGTATTTGTAATTAAAGTAATTAATTTTAATTAATTATTTTTAGTAGTGGTAAGTGTGAATTGGGACCCAATTGAGTGAGAACAAAATCTGTAACAATAGTACTTTAGCAACCGTTTTTTGCTATGAAGCCAGTAACGGCATTTTGGCTTATGATTGTATTTTGTTTTTTTTATTCATTACAAATGAATCATCCTTTTTTATCTCTACTATTTATTTATTTTTTCTCTTTCTTTTTCCCTTTTTGCCACCCTTCTGTATATTCTTTTCATATTCAATATTCATCATATCCAATCCCTCATTTCTCCATTTTACACTTTGCCCCCTACAAGAATTTTTTTTATATATATAGGCATAACTTAGGGTACAATATCAGACCACCTGAAAAAGAAAAAAAATGAATGGAGGCGGCGAGAATAATGATGGTTTGCCATGGGAAACTAATGATTTCTGGTCGTACCTGAACTTGAATGACATTCAAGTTGGGAGTGGAGAGACATTTGAAGGAGACAAGTTGCCAGATCTTACTAGGTCTGATACTTGTCAGCCGCTGACAGTTGTTAATGAGGTGGTTGAACCGACAATTGATGTTGGTAAGAAGAGAATTCCACCAAACCGAAAAAGGAACGGTAAGGGAATCGCTGAACCAAATTTTGGTGCTGATGAAGCCAAAGGTAAAAAAGAATCAGAGCATGAGATACACATATGGACAGAGAGAGAAAGGAGAAAGAAGATGCGAACCCTGCTCGAGACTCTTCAGGCGTTGGTTCCTAATCTCCTTGCTAAGGTAAAAAAGAAGTTCTTACAATGATGTACTTTTTTTTTTCTTATCTGATATCTTATCGATCAAAAGGAAAATAATTCAATAAATTTTATGATATCTGAAACATTTTTTTTTTCCTTTTATTGTCTTCTACAACCTTAATTAATAATCATAATCAACTCATCGAAAATTATTCGAAAAATGAACATGATTGTTTTTATCAAATAAAAACTTGTAAAAGCTTACTAAAGGAGACATGATTCTATGTGAAAATGTAACTTTCTTTCCTTTATATATATATATATATATATATATATATATAATGTTTCGTAACAAACTAAAATAAAAACTAAAATAACCCAATTGAAATAAATTTATTTGGTGATATACACATTCCCCTTATTACTAATTTGTACATATCTACCTGTTAATTCCAAAATAGAATAATAAGATGCATTTTGTTTACCCAAAAAGGGAAGGATAAAACAATATAGGACTGCCGGTTTTTTCCGCATATATAGTTATAAAAGAAACTTCATAAATTTCTTTGTTTTTTATTTTCTAGCATAAGAATATGAAGTTTTCAACATTATTCTAATTCCATTCTAAATTTGTCAAAAAGAACATTTTCTTAATCATTATAATTTTAAGATCTTTGTAACTCGGATGCGTAATAAACATGATTTAAAAATTAACAATTCCAAATTATAGCCTCTTTTTTTTTTTTTTGTAATTTATACTTATTAAATGAATCTTTTTTTAACACTAATAAATTACTTGAAACTGATTAACTCGTATATATATTAGATATGGTATTCCCTTGACTTACTTCCCCTTAATTAGTGAAAATCCTGATTTCGCCTCGTAGAAATTAAATTAATTTCATATTTTTTTTTGTATATGCAGGCTGATAAGTCTACAATAGTTTATGAAGCAGTGAACCACATTCAAAAACTGCAGAATACTTTCAAAAAACTTGAAAGTCAAAAGCTAGAAAGGCTAGAAGAATATAGCATAAGGTTGATGAGTTCACAGAAAGTTGGTAATAGTTGGGAGAAATATGTGGGTGATCAAGGATCAACCAACAATTCAACAGCCATTACACCAACAACTCATGGTGCTAGTCCCCTTATTCCAACAAGTTTCATGACATGGAGTTCACCAAATGTGATACTAAATATTTGTGGTGAGGATGCACATATTAGTGTGTGTTGTCCTAAGAAGCCAGGGTTATTTACCATCATTTGTTATGTTTTGGAGAAACATAAGATTGACATTGTGTCTGCTCAAATTTCATCTGATCAATTCAGAAGCATGTTCATGATCCAAGCTCATGTAAGTCCTTTCATTTTCTTCAAAATAATATATTTGCCATTTTGAACATTGTGAACTAGGGTTTTAGTTAGCACCCTCTTTGATTTACTTTACGTGTCTTTGTTTGATTGATCAGGAAATTGAAGAATGAAACGTGTTAAGAAATTCTTTTGAGTTGGGTGTTTGAGAAACATATAGTTTTTTATTTTATTAGTTTCGCGTCTAATTGAACATTTATCTTCACATGAAATGGAAGTAAAAAAAAAAGAGTATATATCTATCTTTTTTTTTGAAATGCCTCCTCCCACCTAGTCTCACCCTGAGGTTGAAATTCTCTATTTGCTACTACATATAGTTAGTCATAGATTATGTTTAGAAATTATTTAAATTGTTTTACCTAAGTCGAGTGTTTAACTGAAATAGTCTTTCTACTTTTAAAAGATCATATGGATAAACATATCTACATATTTACTGAGTATATTATTATTGTTGTTATTATCACTTTGTTCTAAAAAAATGTTTGATGTATATTCAGGCTAAAGGTGGAAGAGAGTTAGCTCAATTCTCCGGAGCATTCACTGTGGAAGACATGTACAAGGGAGCTACAAATGAGATAAAGTTATTGATAACCCCCAGGTGATCAATGTCATATTTACTTTTGAAGTTCATTCGGTGGAGGATGAACGGTTGTCGCCGTATAGGCATGTTTACTTTTCTAGTTCATCCGGTAAAAGATGAAATGTTGTGGCCGTAAAGACTGTTTTATTTACTTTTATAGTTCATTCGATAGAGGATGAATGATTGTGGCCTTAAGACTGTTTTATTTGCTTTTATAGTTCATTCGATAAGGATGAACGGTTATGGCCGTAAAGGCTATTTTATTTTTATTTTGCATTTTATCCAGTGGAGGATGAACGTCTGTCTCCATATCGGAGGAATGAAAACTATGAAATTTGGTCGCATTAAGTTTCTTCCAATGATATTTATAAATAGCAAAAATCTTGATTTGGCATATGTTTATGTGTTTGGTTTAAGGGTGTGTTTGATATGATTGAATGTTTTAAAAAAAAATCATGTTCTGTTTTAAGAATATTGTCTCTATGAAAATATATTCCTTATAAATGAGAAAAATTGTGTCGCGGTGGAAATGTGAAAAAACAAATGGAATAAATTACATTAATGATTGTAAAGTCATTTAATTATAAGCAATGACTTTACACCCCTCCTCCCCCCACCCCATAATTTTAAGACACTATGTTTTGTTATTAATAATACATTAATACTATGGTAATATTCTTTATAATAAATATTTAGGGGGGAAAGTACATAATATTAACTATAAAAAAAGAGAATTATTTAACCAATGTGGTATGGTTAATTTACATTCTAATTTTTTTTATTATATTATTTTCTTTTTTCCTTTGCTAAACTTAAAATTTACTCTTTTATTAATTAGTTGTCCGATCCATTCTCTAAATTTAAGAGATAAACGACATCAAATAAATTTAAATTATATTTCTTTTACATTCTTCCGAAGTTCTCACACATTACAACAAATAAATTGAAATAATAAAATTTTACTATGTTATCAAGCTATCAATCTCAAAAATCAAGTTCTATTTTCCTATCTCAGCTATCCTTTAAAAATATAAAAAAAAATGAATTTTTACAATATTTTTAATAATTTTACCTCATAAGAGTACTTTTGTTTTACTTCTTAGAAATATGTCGAGATATAAAACATGAATCATATTTATAATTATGAATTTTCTTAAAATTTAAGGCCTATTATTATAATGTTTAATTTGACTTTAAACTTCTAATATTCTTCAGCCGTGCCTGATTCTCGACTCCCACTCCATGTAATCACTCATTTTAACTCCTACCAAACAAGCCCTAAGAGATTAAAAATATCATGTTACTTAACTTTTCTAAAGAGGGTAGAGAAAACCAAAAAAAGAAGAAGCAAGGCACTTAATTATTTACTGTCCCTACTTTCATTTCAGCTTCTACAACAATTAGCACTTGCAGAGAGTTCACATATCAACTTTTATTTAGGTCTATTTTTTCATATTTTATTAAAATTTTGTCTGTATATAAATAATTTTCTTACAAATTAAAAAATAATTTCCTTAGTAGAGCTTGAAAATAAGTGCCATAGCCGATAAGTTACATTTTAAGCTTACAATGGTCTCCTCCCCACCCCCGCCGGTGCCGATTCAATGGTAAAATCATTTAATTGGAGGAAATTTCATAAATATCTAATAATTGAAATATAATGAGTTTTCTTAGCTATAGTTTGTCTAATTATATAATGTAGCTATAGTTTCAATAATTGTGACATAGTTTATTTGTATAACTCGTTGAAAATTATTTTTTTAATACAAATTGACTCTTAACTTAATTAATAAGGCAGTAATTTCGATTATTACAACGGAAAGAAATCCCGCAAATCATGATTATTTTATCTGATTAGAATTTTGTACCAAATATGACTTCTGCTAAACAAAGAACGATGTCAAAAAATTACCTAATAAATATACAACTCAAAGGTATATAAATATCATTAACAAATGTAACATCATATATACAAGTGAATAAATGTATACAAATTCTGAAATTATACAAATAATGGTTGAGACATATATTTGTTGATAATATACAAAAAGGGATAAGACACAAGTATCCCCCTATACTATGACCGAAATCCCAGAGACACACTTTAACTAAACTAAGGTTCTATTACCCTCCTGAATTCATTTTAAAAAAAATTTTGTGCACCTTTTGGATTACGTGGCACACTCCGTGACTTCACGCAATTGAGGCACGTGGGAGATATTTGGATGCCATGTAAGTCAAAAAGGTGTACAAAATTACAAAAAAAAAAGGTTTAGGGGGTAATAGGACCTTAGTTTAGTTAAGATGTGTCTCTGAGACTTCGATCATAGTCTAGGGGGTATTTGTATCTTTTTCATATACAAATACAAAAGAAGTAATTGTATATAATTGTTAAAAATATACAAATAAGGTCTAAAAAGTATAAAAGCCGCAATAAATATTGATACGTAAAATTCATAGAATCATATAGAACAGAATGTGAAAGATATTGATAGAAGTACAAATCACAAAAAATATACAAATGCCTCGATTTCTTCATCATCATCTTGGTCCATTAATCCATATTCATCATTTTCATCTTCAGATGGATTTTTAAAGAAAAAACTCACTTGAATACCTTGAATTTTCCAATTCTATTATGCAGATTCCACCATTGTATGCTCGATTTTTTTTTTAATATATGTGAATTCAATTATATTATTCTGGAATTCGAACTTTTTGTAGTTAAATTACAGAATATTATACTAGAATTTCAAGAAAAATGCTGGAACTCAAATAAGATCAGGAAGTGGAAAAGATAAAGAAATGAGTCTTTGCACTCTTTTAAATTTGAGATATTTTTATCAAAATATTACTTCCGCATAAAAGAATGACAAATTTCAATATTTTAAACATGATTTATATTATTCGGTGTTTATAAATTTTATATTTTGATTTATATATTATTTTAATTGAGTAGAAAAATATTAAATAAAAAATATGAAAAATTACATAAATCCCACCTTTTAGTTTACTTATTACCATTATCCCCTATAAGTTTTACAAATTTTCGAAATCCCTTATTTTCGCGCATCAGATTAGTGTATCTCGCGCATCAGATTAATGTATCAACGCTTATATTATTATATCTCGCGCACCAGATTAGTTTATCATCTATAAAATGTACATTAGATTAGTGTATCATGTATAAAATGTAATGTATCTTACTTAATGATTAATGTATCTCACGCATCATATTAATGTATCAGCGCTTATATTATTGTATCCGTTTGAGGGATTTCTGTAATTATAAACTTTTAAGGGATAAATTGTAATTTTACCTTAAAAGTATGTGATTTCTGTAATTTGCCCAAAAAAATATTACTAATACAATAGATAAACGAATTTAAGTATTTTAAAATTGTGAGAAGTTGACGATATTAATCATTTCGACAATATTAAATATTTTAGAATATCAATAGTTCATATATGTAAAAACAAAGATATCTCCTACGTGTTTCTATATTACTAGTATATTTTTCCAGTAAGTATAAAAGGTATATGAAAAGAATTAAAGAGAAGAAAGCAACTAAATAGTAAAATTATTTAATTTTGTATTCAACATAGAATTATTTTCTTATATAAAATTACATAACTAAATTCTCCCAAATAAAATAAATTCATATCTTACACCCGAACCTATCGACCCACCCACAAATAAAAAATGGGTCTTCACCAATTAAATTTGATGTAGTATTTGAAATGATTGTCTTAATACGTAATGCTCGTATTTATGTGTTGATAATAATGAAGCAGTCAGCATTAGTCACAAGATTATGGTCCTACCTGTAAAAAAATAATAATATAAACAAGTATAGAGAGATTTAATTTAGGGACGGGATAAAATTATCTTTTAAAATTATGATCGGTCTAATTTGATCAGATTTTAACGAATTAATGATCCGTTTATTTTTATTTAATTAAATTTATTTTAATTTGTTTAATTTGACTTATTTTAAAGTTGAATATTATGCCGTCTAAATTGGTCCATGAGAAACCTTGTCTAATTTTTTATTTGTTGTTGTGATATTGATATATTATAAATGATTATTACATAAGAACATTTTTATTAGATACTCAAATAAAGAATTTAAAACTTAGTAAGAAGTTGGTGGATTTCACTATGACACCGATTTTAGTCCATTTCAATCCAAATAACTTGACTCGTCTATTTATTAACTCAATTCAATTTAATATGCCCAAAATCAGTTTAATCCATCTATTTGATTAGAGCGCTGTTCAAAATCGAATCGAAATCGATAATTCAAACCAAAAAAAGTTATTAGTATCGATAATGGGTTATTGATTTAGTAGTTTCGGTAAAGGTTTTGATTTTTTTATTATTGGGTTATTGCTTCTTAACGGATTGAGTTTTTTCTTAACGGATAATTGATAACCCCATAGTAAATTAAATAATTATTTTCATACCATTTCGTATATCATTAAAGTCGTTGACTTAGAGTTTAGTCTCATACTTTTATTTTTAATTGTTTCAAACACTTAGATATTCTAAAATGTGAGTGTCTTTGCTTTTGAGCAAGATACAGTCTGCCAACTTATGTGCATGGTTCATTTGATTTGTCACCTTGTTTCTAAGTGATTTCAATGAGTTTTTTGTATCAAATCTTAATGGTTAAACCGATAAATCAATAATCAATAGGTCAATATCTTAATGGTTCTGCAACGATTTAGCATGTCTACAAACTAACAATAAGTCGAACCGATAAATTTCAAAACTAAACCAAACCAATCAATACACCGCTCTACATTTTGTTACTCCTAATTGTCATAATTAACGAAAATAGCAATAAACAATTTTAATTATCAATAAATAATAAAAGTTTGTCGATTATACCATTTATTAATGAATTATCAAAAAAAAATTGCTAGCTACAAACTAATGGAAGATTAGCAAGGAATTAATATCCTAACTAATTCCTTTTTTTTCTCCTAATAAAGGGAAAGTCATGATTAGTATTTAGAGGCATTTTAACATCCTGGCCAGAAGATGAAATAAAATGATGATCTTTTTCTTTTATATGAAACGGATATGGCATGATAGAAACTTTTATTCACGAAAAAACACTTGCTTAGTTATTCATTCTAGTGTGGTTAACTTGAATAAATGAGTAAAAAGATGCATAAAATCTCATTATTAAAATCTATTAATGAAATTTCATTAACATTAATAAATGAGTAAAAAGATGTATATA